CGGGGGTCTCCAGCGCGGTGCCCCCCGGGCCTGCCGCTGCCTGGGCAGCGCTGAAGCAGCACTGGCAGAAGAAGAAAAGTCAGTGGTGAGCCTGGCTCGTGTCTTCTCTCCCGGTAAGCAGGGGGCTGACGTGATCCCTGGGCTACCACAGACCTGGGTGTCTGCCATCCATCCAAGGTTCTCCAGGAAAATTCCTGGAGAAACCACAGGCGGAGAAAACACCTCAGAAACAAACACGAGCTTTCCAAGCCCTTTTGAAGATCAGAAAGGAACAAGGAGAAAATCTCTCCTTTTGTTTGCCACAAGCCCCTGGAGGACAAGTATGCCCTGGGGGCTGTGTCTGAAAGTCAGTTGAACCATCAGCTGTGCCTATGGACATGCTCCTCCTTCTCTGACCTGGCTCAGTTTCACCTCTGTGACTTTTGTCTGATTTCATAAAGCTTTCTGTGATAGCCTGCGAGGGGAGGGGGATCCACAGCCTCAGTAGGCAGAGCCTGGAGCCCCTCATAGGGGATTTATTGGAGTTGATTTGCTATTACCTCACTGATGTCTGGCTCTGCTACAATGAACAACACGTGCATGCTAGCCTCCCCTCTCTAAAACACTTGCAGCACCTCCTCTGACACAGAGCTATTCCTGTGTTTGCCTGAGCCCTTTGACTTACTAGCTTCCACTGAAAGCTATTGTCATCTCTCAGCTCATGCTGAAAGCTGGACCCAAGTTATGCGCTCACAATGACCTTGCTTGGTGCCTGAGCCACCTGGAAAGTGTCACCTTCACTGGTGAAAACATGTCAAGTGACTGAAAGAAGCAGCACTGCTGTGAGCCACAGCCTGTGCCGGTGTCTAAGCAACATATTTTAAGAGTTGCAGGAACGGCTGAGCCATCTGATCAAACTGTATCTAATCAGGCTGGTGAGAAAATGGGTTTTTCCATGGGGATGCCCAGGTTGCTAGTGCTGTTGGACCTGAACAGGGAGTTGTGGCAACAGGGAGTTGTGGGAAATGCCTGAACTCCCTGCAGTGGTATAAAAGTCCTTTAAGTGACCTCAGAGATCACTAAATAATATAGACTGTGCTGATGCAGGCAGTCAATGAGAATGACATAGTAGCTGGTGACACTGAGGCATCAAAAATGAGTCCCCTAGGTTTATTGGTGTGAAAAGGAGAGATGTGATCATCTTCCCTCATGAAAAGCTTTGCCAAGGTGCTCACTGAAATAGATACTGGATGCCAAGGTGTCAGTTCTGACTGTCTCCTAGCATCATCTGTACTTGCATGTCACCAGTTAATTCTGGGTTGTTTATAGCATAAGCATTTTGTAGCACAGGTTTGAAGCACAAGAGTCAGAGCTGTAGAGTAAGGCAGTGATCAGCCTTTCAGACAAGCGCAGAAGACTTGTGTAGGTCACCCAGCTTTAGAAGATTTGTAAGGCAATCTAGTGGCACCTCAGGGCATAAAATTATGATACTTCTCCAAGAGCTGCCTGAATCTGTTTATAGGCCATTCTAATAGACAATCGAGGGTAAAATGACACTGATTCATCATTGCTGCAAATGTGTATTCACGCCGAAAAAAAATCATTAGGATGCTGTTACACTGAAAGAGTAGGACGGCAATGACTGATGAGAGCCATGAGTAATTCCAAGCTAAGCATCTCTATATACCTTGGATCTGAAAAGACCAAACAGATGTCTAAGCTTTTTTCAAGTGCTTAAGAACAGCTGGCTAAATCCAGTGAACACCAATCAGCTGGATCTCATCAGTGCCTAATTGCTCAGCAGCCTGCCAGATGTCATTAGCAGCATCCTGCAAGCACACAGGGGAGGGTGATCTTGCCCTGGCCCTCAGGAAATTCACCCTGAGAAGGCCCGTCCCTTACAGAGATGTTATGGCCACGTGGCTAAGAAGACACTGCATATGTTTTTATACCACATCAGGGAAAAAAAAAAAAGGTTGCAAGATATTTTGGGGAATATTTTCATCATTGCTCAAAACAAAGTTGAATCCTAGACTGGTAGCAGCCGCCCCAGACAGGTACAAAACACAAGCAAGGCAGATTTAAGGTTAAAAGGGACTGCATTCTGCTGAGACATCCCAAACTGCTGTACTGGTGACAGAATGAGTGGTATTAATCAGAGATTCACAGGGCTCCAGAAAAGTGCCTGGCTGTTAATCTTATATAAAGGCTGTGGAAAGTCACAGAATTGATACAGTGTTTGACACTGACAGGGAAATAAACAGAAGTATAATGACAAGTGGAACAAAAGATTCAACATACATCTGTCTAAATATACATTTTCAGCTGGCAAGATCCAGCAGTGGAAAAGTGTCCACTTCCATCAATGAGTTCAACAGATTCTGGTTGGAAGAATGGGAAAAACAGAGAGAAGATACCCAAGGTGACAGAGCCCTCCATATCACTGGGAGACCCCTGCTCGCCCTTGCCCGCTGAGCCCAGGTTATGGGCCAGCTCTCAGGCACCCTTATGCAAGGAGGAAAAGGCATGTTATTCTGCGTGCCTGCAAGGCCTCCAACAAGAGCAGTCACTGCTAAGGACTCACATCTCTTGAACACCTTGCAGTGCTTCCAACAGACTTCCATTGGTTGGGGTACATTTAGATAGTTAAGAAATTTCTTAGTTCCTAATTTACACTAACAAGCTTTTTATTACCAGTAACTATGACAGTTTTTTTTTTTTAATGCAAAATACATCTCTAACCTCAGCCAGGAGCCTCCCACAGAGCTTGCATGCATGCCCACACTGCTTATCCTCTGCGCTGTGCCTTGCACAGTCCCTTCACCACAGGCCTCTTAGTGCTGCAGGCTAGCAGGCAGTGGGGAGGTGGAGGAGCTGGGGTATGCCAGTGTGTGCCTCTAGCCTGTCAGTGCCCTGTCCAGTTTGCAGCCCACAGATGGTGGCACTGAATAATACGGTAGTGCTCTGAGGACAGAAACAACCAACTGCGAGGGAGCTCCTTAGGCTTATACTGCTGTCAGAGTCCCGTACTGCCAAATGCTGCCTCCTGTATCTAAGGGGTCCGGCAGCAAATCCAGCTGCTGGTCTGGAAAGCCTGAAGACCTAGTGATGCTCTGCTGTAGGACGAGCCATGGCAAAAATGTCCTCAGAAGCAGAAAGGCTGCTAGGCATTAACACAGGGCAGGCATTGACTGGTGAAACAAGATGAAAGCATGTGACTTTGCATCTTGCAGATGCTGTGAGTTCAAGCAAGTCCCATTTGCTGCTAATTCTACTCCAGCAGCATCTCAGAGAGTCATGGTGCAGTGTCCCTAAAGCATGGCTTGCCCCAATGATGGCCCAGCAAAGGCATGTCTGACTGCAGTTCTAGCATGTGACACACGAACCAGGATTTGGGACACTACCACCATGAAATATTCTAGCACAGTGTGGAGATGGGCAGAAAACACTCCCTTCACCTTAAGAGATGCATACATTTTTAAGGTCAGAAAAGACCCTATGATTGTCTCATCTTTCATGTGGACTGGGTAGAGACAATTTGGAGATGAGAAACAAGGGTGACTGGAAGGCTAAAAACCATGGTCTGCAGTAAAAGTTTGAAAAAACAGGCACTACTTAGAAGACCAAGCGGAGACGCAATAGAACATCTTAAAAAATATTTTAGATAGCTGCAGATAGGAAGAGGCTTAACTCTTTTACATGCTTAGGGTAAGAAGATGTAAGTTTAAGACTTGCTAGTGGAAAGTGAAGCACATTTGTCCTCTCAAGTCAAGGGATTTTCCTCTGTAGAAGTTTGTAATCACCCGAGTGTGGCATTTACTCCTGAAGACCTGACAGGATACAGAATACAGTACTGGTCTGACAAAAGTTGTCTCTGCCGGGGCTGAGCAAAAACAGTGTAATTGCTGGTTCAGATGAAACAAAGTCAATTGTGAAATACTTGCTGCGCTGGAGCGTATGTGCTGCATTACAGGAACAATAACGCTAATTCCAGATCTCACTACAGTCCTAAGCCCTGAGTCACTGGGCAGGGGCAAGAGCAGAGAGGCGCTCCCAGGGATGCAAGCAGCCACGCACGCACGCTCATCTCTGACCTGTCAAGGCTAAAAAGGACTGGAGGACAAGCCGGGACTGGCTCTTTTTCGGCTCACAAGCCCTGGCTGAGCAGCCTCCCTCGCTCAGAGGCTGGCTGTGAGTGTCACTCTACTTTCTTCATGTCCTGGGAAAAGCAGCTTCACACCCACAAGAGTAAAATAAAGCGCAGCTGGCTAATTGCAGTGACTTCACGTCGGGGCTCTGAGCATACCTGGGGTGAACAAGCTGCCTTCGGGCAGCCACTGTAGGTGCAGAGTCTGCTGATGTATCTCTGTGCTCACAGGCATTTCCCCTGTGCAGCCAGTGCTGTTTTCTCTATTTTCTCTAGCAGCTCTCGGAGCTGAAGGTGGCATGAGCAACAGATGAATAACTGGAAACAGAAGTGGGGTGAATTATGCAAGACCTGGTGAGGTTGGAGCTCCTGAAGGAGCACTGGCTACCTCAGCGTGGGGCAGGCAGTGAGGCTGGAGGGTCTCTGCATGCTCTGGGCAGGACCCTGGGCATGCTGATGAGTCTGTTGCTGTCCCCTTGCCCTTTAGGCCTTCTTCCTGTGTTTCAAGCTTTAGGACTTGCAACAAAGCTGTGGTCAGCTCTGTTGCAATGCTGCAGAGCGTGCTTGTGTGAGGCTGCAGCAATGAGGCAAGAGCCAGAGATCACTTCCCTCTTTCCCAAAAGCCCAAGCCTTGTCTGTTGGATCATGGCTGAGCATCCACTTCCACATGGCAGAGATGCAAGGAGGATTCACATTAGCCAGCTCGGTACCGCCTTGCGGATGTCTCTGCAGAAGCATCCGCTCCCTAGATAAACCACAACCAGGTGGGCAAGTCTGCAGTCCCTTG